TCCCTCTCCCTGGCCCTCTGTCCCCTCTCCCTGGGCCTCAGTCCCTCTCCCTGGCCCTCTGTCCCCTCTCCCTGGGCCTCAGTCCCTCTCCCTGGGCCTCTGTCCCTCTCCCTGGGCCTCAGTCACCAATGGCCCCTCCTGTCCCTTATCCCCGGCCTCCAGGTCTGTTCTCCGAGCCCCAGCCTGGCACAGTGGTGACTCCGGGGGAAGGTGGCCAGGATGGTACCGCACTTCTTCATCCCCTCTCTGACAGCTCAGTGGTCTCTTCTGACCAGGAGCCCGTGAGTGGCATTGTCACCAAGTCACCTTCGTGATCCAGGCCACCACTTCGCAGGAGCTTTGTGGCCTTTATGGTTCCATTTCTTTCCCTTGCCAGAGCCCTCAGGGTGGAGACCCGCACTTTCTGCCAGACACTGAGTTTTATTTCTCCTGGAGATTGAGTCCCTTCTGTGACCCTGGGGGCCCAGGCTTGCCCTTCTGACCCTGATACTCCTATAGCTTGGGGCTTGGAGGTAAGATGAAGGGCTGGACACTGCAGCTCCTTGGGTCACCTCTGGTCAAACACCTGGGGACCTGGGCAGGGCTGACCAGTGGCTCCTGGAGATGTCATGTGAGGCTTTTTTCTTTTCTTTCCTTTCCATTCCTCTCCCCACTCCTGCCTTCCCCTCCCTTCTCTTCCCTTTCCCTCTCTCTCTTTCCTTCTTTTTTTTTTTTTTTTGTAGCGGGGATCAAACTCGGGTCCTTGTGCTTGTGCAGCAGGTGAGGAAACCACTGAGCTAAATCCCCAGCCCTTTCTTTCTTTCTTTCATTCTTTAGTACTTGAAATTGAACTCCAGGCCTCACATTAAGCTTTTTTTTTTTTGGTACTGGGGATCAAATTCAGGACCTTGTGCTCGACAGCCAGGTGCAGCGCCACTGAGCGACATCCCAGTCCCAAAGCCCATTTTATTTTGAGACAGGGTCTTGCTAAATTGCTAAATTGCCCAGGCTGGGCTCCAACTTATGATTCTCCTGCCTCAGCCTCCTGGAGTGCTGGGATTACAGGTGTGCACCACCCCACCTGGCTTTGTCCTCACTTCCTTCCTAACCTGAAAATGACTTGAACAACGTGAAAATCTGCATTGTGGAAAGGGAGGGAGGCCAATCAACCAGGTTTCTGGGACTGGACACACTCTGAAGTCCCTAAGTGCCTGGATGGAAGAATCCGGACCTTTGTCTTGAGACCCCAGACTCCAGACTCCAGCTCTCCTCCTTAGGACCACAGTACGAGGTCCCTATCCTCTTCTCCAAGGAACTCACTTCCAGATGTCCAGCCCTATGATCCCTCAGGACTTGAGCACCATCTTTGCACCTAATGAATGCCCAGGAGTCTTTGCTCTAGCCCTGCAGGCCAAGATATCTTCCCATTTAACATCCCAGATAACTACCTCTCCCATGAGACTATGGGGCTGTGGTGTCGCTTTTTTAAAAAGGCCCCCCCATTATTGAGGCACCTCTGAGAAATAGTTCCACAAGGGAACACAAGGGTGGCGGTGGGTAAGAAGTCCTGCCATGCCAGGTGTGGTGGCACATGCCTGTGAATCCAGCTATTTTAGGAGCAGGAGGATCACAAGTTGGAGGCCAACCTGGAAAACTTAGTGGAGAACTGTCTCAAAATTAAAAAAAATAAAATAAAAGCCTGGGGATGTAGTTTAGTCATAGAGCACTTGCCTGGCATACAAGACGCCTTGGGTTCCATTCCACGTACTACAGCAAAACCAAACACCATATTTCTACTCAGCCAAGAAGACATTTTGTTCTGTTAAAGAGTAAAGAGCAGGAATTGTCCTGCAGACCCTGGGGACACTGTCAGAGTAGGAAAATGGAGCCCAGTGGGAAGCTGGGAACTTGTGGGGGGTGGCAGGGGTCCCGGGGTCAGGTGGACGCAGGACACAGAGCCATCCCTCCTTCCAACACTGACACGCACTCCTTAGATACTCTTCTGTCAGAGTCTTTATTATCCCAAGTAAGAAAAATAGAAAAATAAATAAGATAAATAACCCAATAAATAAAGAGCTAAATTAACAGCCTTAGCTTCAGAAAGCATAGCTGGGGCTGCGGCCCTGTAAAGGCCCCACCATGCTCAAAGGGTCTGAGGAGCCCACGTCCGGGGGTTCGGGGGGTAGCATTCCTGGTGGCTCCAGAGGTGGAGGGTGCAGGCCTGGCAGTGGCAGAAAACGGGCTGGTCCCGGGGGCACTGGATCCCGGGATGCGGAGTCACTGGGGAGCATGCGCAGTGGGAGGCCGTAAGCTTCAGACTGGTAGATGTTGTAGCCATCTGCAAGAAGCAGCTCCCGGAAGCTGCAGGCCTCAGGGTCAAAGTGGAGCTGGGGGGACAGAGAACAAGGGTCAGAGCCCTGAAGCTCCTCTATACTCTCCTTCTGCACCACCTTCAGGCCTCCTCCCTCAGACCCAGGATCCAGGCCCCAGCCCCATCCAGGAAACCAGATACCAAGAACTGACTCCTCCTTTAGCCCCTGTCATAGAGAAGCCACCTGCCTATCCCCCGGTCAAGAATGTTCTAGCCCTTAGGGCCTGGGGATGTAGCTCAGTGGCACCACGCCTGCCTGCCAAGTGCAAGGTCCTGAGTTTAATTCCTGGTATCAGAAAGAAAAGAAAAGAATGTTCTAGCCCAGTAACCCCCAAGACTTCCCCAAGGCAGGCAGCAGGTCTGGTGCACACCTAAGGTCATGGTGGCTCACGGCCATGGGTTCCTGGAGTGTCCTAGGACGAGCCAGGCACAGAGGAGGCCTGTGGCCAGGATCAGGGGTTACAGTCCTGAGATGCGGCTGAACATGTCCTGCCATGCCCTCACACTGACCCTGCCTGGGCCTCAGTTTCCTCAAACACTGGTAACAACTGCTCACTGCAGGTCTTGCAGGGAGGTTGGGAGTGGAGAGCCAGGGCCACCAAGGCGGGTGACCAAGGAGACACAGGCCAGCACTGTGAAGATGACAGCACAGGCAGTGGGGTCCTGAAACTCACCGATCCATACAGGGTCCCGTCAGGCCTCTGGCACAGGAACCTGGAAGTCCTGACCCCCAAGATCTGAATGACTCCTGGCTTCAAGGCTTTCAGCTCCAGGAGACCTGGAGGAGAAAGTGGTAAGATTCCAAGCTCCGCTCCCAGGCCCCTCTGTCCCAGCCTGGGGCACCAGGCCCCCACACTCACTTTCAGGGCTCCGGTGGGCAGCGCCCCCCACTGAGCCATCGGCCCTGATCTCCAGGTGCACCTCCGTGTCCTGGGCATCGTCTGTGTAGAGGTGCCGCTGCCGGACCTGGCCCCCAAACTGGAGGAGGGGGCTGGAGTCAGGGATGGGGTGTGCCTGGCAGGCTCCCAGTAGAAGAACAGCCAGCACCGCGGGGACCCACAGCCCTGGGCGCTCAGACTCAGCCCTGGCCCAGTCCATCAATAGTGCTTGTCCTCTGTGTGGTCCAGGGTGTGAGGCTGGAGGAGCAGAGAGGCGTACGATGCGCTCCAGGTCTGGCTTGTCTGGGACAGTGGATTCCCACAGCACAGCGGCTCAGGTAGACAATGTCCCGGGTCCTCCTGCTCGGGGATTCTAGCTGCCAGGGCACCCAAACTCTGGGGATGGCTGCAGGCGCTCCAGCATTTATACCTAGACACACTGCCCACGTGCCCTCCCCAGTCCTAATTTGTGATATTTGACCCACTTGGCTGGAGCCAGAATTCCACCGTGGCCAGGGGAGGCTGGAGGGATGATGCAATGTTATGTCAGGCTGGGAGCCTGCACACCAGGGTCTGGAGCATGAGGGACCAGAGCCTGATTCATTGGGACTGGGGTGCAAGGGCCACAGCCATGATGCCAGGACCAGAGGTGGGAGGATCTGGGGTTTCAGACTCCTGGGTCTAAGAGACAGGGGGCTTGGGCTGGAACACTTGTGTTTGAGGGAGGAGGCTGGCCCTGGAGCCCCCAGGTCTGTGTCTGGAGCGTTAGGGATTCTGAAAACAGCCTCCCTGGGTGACAGATGCTGATTTTATTCCACAAGTGGAATTTTTGTCCCCTTTGAATTTCTATGTTTTGGGGAAAGGAGGGTCTGACACTTAATCTGAGGAAAGCTGCACCTGTCTTGTGACAGAAGCCCTAGGGTCCCAGGCCACGCTGTCCAATCCCTGCTCAGCAGCCCTGGGCTCCTCCTCCTGATGCAATCCTGGCGTTTCTTTCACCAGAGCGGCTTCCTGGGCCCAGACAGGTGCTCCCAATATAGCCGGTGCCTGAGGAAAGAGGGCACGGAGAGCAGAGCAACTGCAGCTGAGATGGCTGTGGGATGGAGTGAGGACTGCTGGGAAGAGGCCAGGCAACTTCCAGAGCCCCTGGAGGGTCTCTGAGGAAGGAGCACCCAGGAATGGAATCTTGGAGGAAACATGGTCAGGTCTCTCAGGAGTCAAGTGAAAGTCCCGTCCTCCCGCTGATCCTGGACAACAGAAATGGTTCTGGTCAGCAGGAAGCTTTTGTCCCTCAGAGGCAGGGAGCACAAGTCATTCTTCCCTTGGATTGTCACCTTTCTCCTTCCAGTCCAGAAAGTAGCACTGGGCGCCAGACGCCAGAATTTCCAAGGCAGAGGGACCGGGGCCGGAGTTGTGGGATTTGAATGTGGAGGGTGCGCACGTGGGGACCCGGGACCCCGGACCTCGGCAGCAGCCCAGTCCTAGAGAGCCCTGGCAGACAGGCTCCCGTCCTCCGGGGAGCGCGCCGCAGCGCGCGGGGTCCCCCCACCTCGGGGACCAGACGCGGGCCCTGCGCAGCGGCCGGACGTGGCCAGGCGGAGCGCATACCGCGGGCCTCGCGTGGATGCAGCTGCCGCCCGCGGGGGGCCTGTGGGTGCCACAGCCGTGGGAGGGGCCGGGCCGGGGCGGAGGGTGGGGCCCCCACCAGAATCAGCCGTGGAGGGGCGAGTGCCGCCCTATCCCCGGGCCGCGGAAGGGGCTCCAGATAAGGGCGGGCCCTTTCCTGCTAACTGCCCCGCGCGGGGGCAGAGGCTGTGCCTCTGCTCGTCCTCGCTTCCCGCCCCGGGACTCGCTGCCAGTCCGGGTGCCGGCGTGAAGGCCAGGGCTGCGGGCCTGGGGGACCCCGGCGTCCGGGAGGTGGGTGGATGTGGCCTGCGCTCTCTGCCCGCGCTCCTGGGCCTCGCGAAGCAGGCTCGGGAAGTGCCGCCGCCCTCCAGGCGCTCAGGTGAGTGCCCTGCGGATGCTGGAGGCCGCGACCCGGGCACCGGGCCCTGCGCCCTCTGCTCCAGGTGCCCGGCGCACGAGATCCCCGCTCCGGCCTCTCCTGTTCCGCTCGCTGGGTCACTTCCTGTCACCTTAATGGTGTGCTGTGCCCCTCACAGACAGGTGCACCTGAGAAAGGGGTTGGCGGCCTGCCCAGTTCCCCCCGAGGCTCGGAGCCTGCGCCACTGCTGGCTTGGAAACCAGTAATCTCCACCTCAGCGCCCAGCATTCTCATCCCTCCAACCTAGGATTTAGGCTCCCAGCTGCCTTCTGCCTCACACCCAGGAGTCTGCACTTTTACTCTCCCCAGGCACGAGTGACCCCTAAGTCTCATTTCCTCTTTGGCAGCCGAATGGGCCCCCAGCCCCCACCAGCTCTGCCTAGGCTTCCTCTTCATCTGCGTCCTCTCAGGGACATCTTTCTTTCTCTACCTCTATGACATGTTCCAAAATGGCCTTGGCCTATCTGTCCTGTGTCCGGACCACCACCTGCAGGCATCCCCAGTGGCCCTCTTATGCTTGCCGGGCACACCGCTGGGCTCCAACGCCTCTTCCTGTCCCCAGCACCCTGCCTCTCTCTTGGGAATCTGGACAATCCACCCAGACAGCCGCTTTGGTAGCCAGACGGGACAGCCATACTCAGTGGCAGGAGCTGCAGCTGCACATCTGGATGTCCGAGGAGTATTCCCGCTTGAAGGACCCCTTTGTGAAGCTCTCTGGCTTCCCCTGCTCTTGGACTTTCTTCCACCATCTCCGGGAACAGATCCGAAGTGAGTTCACCCTTCACAACCACCTTCAGGAGGAGGCCCAGGGATTCCTGAGGGCGCTCCGCCTGGGCTATGTGGGGTCCCGCCACGCACTTTTGTGGGGGTCCACATTCGCTGTGGGGACTATGTGCAGGTGATGCCCCAGCACTGCAAGGGTGTGACAGGTGACCGAGCTTACCTCCAGCAGGCCATGGACTGGTTCCGGGCCCGGCATGAGGACTCCATCTTTGTGGTCACCAGCAATGGCATGAAGTGGTGCAGGGAAAATATTGATACCTCCAGAGGCGATGTGGTCTTTGCGGGTGATGGGCAGGAAGGCACACTGGCGAAGGATTCGCCCTGCTCACTCAGTGCAACCACACCATCATTACCATTGGCACCTTTGGCTTCTGGGCTGCTTACCTGGCTGGTGGTGACATCATCTACCTGGCCAACTTCACCCTGCCGGACTCTGACTTCCTGAATCTCTTCAAGCCTGAAGCTGCCTTCCCGCCGGAGTGGGTGGGCATCATTGCTGACCTGTCTCCACTCCAGGCACCCAACATGTGGATTGGGCCTTGGAAGGAACTAGGGAGACTTTACATATAGATCGGATCAATCTAAAGCCACTCTCTGCAGGCCTGGTGGCTTCTGGATAAACCAAGGGAGTGGTCCTGGAGCAGGAGGGCACCCATTTCAGCATGATTCTAGCTGGCCAGACTTGGAAAGAAGGAGGGGCTTCCTGGAACTGCTGAACATTCTAGAACCAGCAGAACTTCTTTTTCTGATGGCTGGCAATGCCTGGAGAAGCTCATGGCAGTTCTAGAAGCTGTAGTGCTCACCTGCTCTGCTCTTTCCTGCCCATATCCATAGGACTTCTGAATGGCTGCTTCCCTTCTAGAGTTGACCATCTTTATCTTTTGTGGATAAGGTGTTACTTTCCCCCTGGGTCTTCAGAAGACTGGAGGAATTCGTGGGTCATCTAGAGCCAGCATGCACCAACTCCATTTCTGAGTGACTCTAGAGGGGGAGTTGTTCTAGAGAGGGCCAGGTCTAAAGCCTGAAAAGAACCCTATAGTCCCTTCCAGAGGAGACAGGCCCCAGAGTTCTAGATCACTCTAGAGAAGGATCTACAAAGCCACAACTGGAAGCTCCGCACCCCACCACTGCCAGAGAGATGGGGACAGGGCAGCCTCTTGGCCCGTTTAGAGGTTCTGGAAAAGCTGGGGCAGTTGGGAGCAGAGTTGAACTCTGACCAACCCTCAGCCCAGGAAAAAGCCTCAGAATTGTGTTTTGAGCAGACAGACTAAATCACAGGTGAGAGGAGAGATACAGTTGAAATGCTGCAAAAAAAAAAAAAAAGAAAAGAAAAAGAAAAAGAAAGAAATGCTGCGGCTTTAAAGCACAACCTTCCAGAGATCTAGGGACACTTTATTTATTTATTTTTAAAGCTCAAAACTGCCAAAGACAGAAATGGCACACACTGGCTGTGGCGTAGGATTGAAGAAGCTTCCTCCTCTGCAGCTGGACTACTGTGGATCTGGGGTCTGTTTTCTGCAGGTCAGGAGCCTGCAGAAAGCTTGGGCCATTGTGGTCCTTGCCAACTGTTATGTACCCTTGAGCCCCCAGAACCACTAAATCTGGCTTTGGACAGGTATGGCATGAATGTATTTAAGGGTGTACAGACCCCCCAGCCCAGCTCAAGCTCAGATAGGAGCACAGGGCCTAATCAAGGAGGATGAGATTTGGACTCAGATTTCAGGAGCCCTTGCTGCTTTTTGGATGGTGAGGGAAGATACCCTATATACAGTGAAATCTAATCATGCCTCATTCCAAGAACCTCAATAGCTAGTCTTCTCAGGGAATTTCAGGATACCAGTCCCCACTCCTCTGCCACAGATAGGAGAGTGGGAGTATGAATTAAAAAACTACTTCGCCAATCCCTGTCTCTGCAGATGTTTTGGAGCTGTGTTTCGGGTGCACGTGTGTGTAAAAGTGAAAGGAAAAGTAGAAAGTTTTCAGGGACTTCTTTTGTTTTTGTTTTTTTAAGACAGGGTCTTCCTCTGTAGTTCAAGTTGGGCTTGAACTCTGTATGTAGCCTAGGCTGGGCCCAAACTCACAGCGATCCTGCCTCTGTCTCCTGAGCGCTGGGATTGATTATAGCGCATGCCCAGCTGCAGACTTTCCTTACTCAGGATGCCTTGGGGTGTGGTACCTGGTCAGATCTAGCAGCCCTTTGCTGTTGCGCTAATGTGAGTTGTGGTCCTTGTTTATCTGGTGTCCAGAATCATGCAAAAAAGGAGAAAAGCACCTTCCAGGACCCAAAAGTCTTAAGTCCTCAGTATCTTCTTCTGGGGCTCTTAGTGTGGATCCCAGATCTCTTCACTGGAGTCTCGGCGGTTAGCAGAGAAGGGCGAGAAGGTGGAGGAGCTAGTGGGCTGTGTCATTTTTGAACTACATTTCCCATAAAGCTATGGGGCTGACGGCACTAGTTTGCTATTGCTAAAGTGGCCCCAGGGCCTTCTGGGAGTCATAGTTCTAGGCGAGAAACAGCCGCTTCCCGCATCTTTGTGGCTGGGGGCCAGGGTTTCCAACCAGCCAGAGTCCATCCAGTCGGAAGCCTGGGCCCCGGGGCCAAGGGAAGGGAGGATGCTGAAGGCCATAACCGGACCTTGGCTCTGGAACCGGAGCGGGCCGGTGGCTTCCCTTCTGCGGACGCTGCGAAAGCTCTAAGAATTGGCGACCGCCTCTATGACGTCACGGAGCCCCGGCCGAGACTTCCTTGACTTTTGATCCAATTAGACTTACAGTTGGGCTTCTGGGCGGGGCCAAGGGAAGCCAAAGGAATATCTCGAGGTTTGGGGGACCCCACGTGGGAAACTCAAAAGGGGAAACGGCAGGGGTTTCTGGTAGAGAGGAGACGGCCTATGATTCAGATCCAAGTCGACAAACTCGATTCCATGCAGCCAACGTCTCCCTAGCCCTAACCCCGAAATCCTTAATCTTTTTTTTTTTTTTGTACCTGGGATCCAACTTGGGACCTTGCCCTTGCAAGGCAAGCGGCAGCACCACTGAGCTAAATCCGTTGCCCAGAAATCCTTAATCTTAGTGGGGGAAAATATTAGAGCACCCAGCTCGCTCTTTCAAAAGCCCTCAGGAGCTGGACTGGGCTCCCGAGCCAAGCCTAGTGTTTGAGGGCATGAGTCAGAGATCAAGGTCGGAGGGGTGCCTCGCTGGTTAGGTTGCATGGGGCTCTGTTCCTGAGAAGGGTGTGCCCTGCAAATTAGGGGTCTTGGTCTTGGGGTAGAGTGGGCAAGGTCTCCCTGGGACGGGAGGGTGGCTGGGAGTCTTAGTTAAGTTTATAAAGTCCCCACGTTTAGGGATTTGGGGTATATTTTTGGTTGAGGGAACTTTGAGTTTGATAATACCCAGGGTGGCTCTGTACTGCCTAGTTTATTTGGTTTGGGCACTGAAATTTCAGTTGGAGGTACAACAGGTTTTGAGGGTCTTGGGGTGTCTGAGAGTCGATCCATTTGAGGTTGGGATCACATTGATTTGGGGGAGTTGGGAAGGGCATGGATTGGGATTTGGGGAGCCTTTGTGGGTTAGGGGTCCAGTGTCCTGCTTTAATGCTTTTGTGGTCTCTCAGTTGGGATGCAATGCAGACCCTAAATTTGGGGGCCCATGGATTAGGATTGTGTCTCACACTTTGGAGACATTTGGTGAAGGATATGTCTTAATTTGGAGATTTCTTAAAGACTCTGTTTCCTGGCGACCTTGCAGATAGGGGGCTCATTGAGGTCTAAAATGAGCTGTAGCATCTCCCCTTTCAGCAGCCACCTGTTCGGTTTGGGGTGAGAGGACCACACGCTCTAGCTGCGATGGGCCTGCGTTTTGCCCTCCTGTTGGTGGCCCTGGCCTGCTGCCTGCTGCCTGCAAGGTGCTGTATCATATGTGACCCATCTGTGGTGGCAGCGCTAAAGTCCTTGGAGACAGATTACTTGCCTGGCCACCTGAGCACAAAGCATCACGCAGATGTGATGCAAACGGTGCAGCAGGGTGTGAAGGATTTCCAGAACCTGCAGTTCAAGGAGGAGTCCTACATGGGGGCTGTTGGTAAGGGCAGGGCTGAGGGTGGCCTCTTGGGTCCTGGGATAGGAGGGGGTTGGGGACACGGTCTCCTGAGTTCAGGAATGGAGAAGGCTAGGGTGCAGATTCTGTAGCAAATACAGTGTGTCCCCCCCTTTATCTTTTTTTTTTTTTCTTCATCTTGCAACTTTATGTTATAAATGTCCAGGTCCCAGAAGGTGATGGGCGGCTTCTCCCTTCATCAGCCTGTCTTTCCCCTGTGGCCTCATGGGTATTGTAGTTTCTACAGGGAGGCAAGCCTACTAGACTTTCGGGTTGGAACCTGGGGTTCTGTATCCCCACTCCCACAGATGAGGACACACTGCAACAGGCATCCTGGAGTTTTCTGAAGGAATTGAAACGAATTACAGACAGTGATGTAAGAGGTAAATTCACCGAGGTGATGGGTGCTCCAGAATCTCTAAGGTTAGCCATTGCTGGGGATGCCAAAGCTGGTGGAGGACAGACCCCAGGCTGTGAGCTAGGCTGCCAGGTTTAAGTTCCGGCTCTATGGCTTCCTCGCCTTGTGGTCTTGAGCAAGAGACTTGGAACCTCCCTCAGCTCCAAAATGGAGACCTTAGCAGCTCCTTGCTCCCTCAGCTGGTGTAAAGATCAAATGAATGAGGGGTGGAGATTTAGCTCAGTGATTCCACTGCCTGCCTTGGGAGTTTGATCTCCAGTACCAAAAAAAAAAAAAAAATTGAATAAATGAATACATGTGTATTCTTAGCCCAGGGGCTGGCATCAGCTTGACTGATTGATTTCAGTGCTATTCCCTGAGCACACTAGAAAATGCCAGCCCAGCACAGTGGCCTGCACCTACAGTCCTAGCTACTTGGGAGGCTAAGGCAGGAGGTTTGCTTGAGTCCAGGAGTTTGAGACCAGCTTGGGCAGCATGTTGAGATCCCATCTCATAAATAAATAGATAAGAATGGAATTCCAGCTCACAGAGGCCACCCTCCTCTACCCAACCTCCCCGGGGGGGGGGGCACTGTGCACTCCCTGCTTCCTTCCAGGGGAGCTCTTCGTGAAGGAGCTGTTTTGGATGCTGCACCTACAGAAAGAGAACTTTGTCAAACTTGCTAAGCAGTTCCAAAATGAGGGTGAGGAAGGCTAGGAGCCCAGGACCCCAGCCCCATCCTACAACCCTAGAGTTCCTGTCTCCAGCCCCTTGCACCTGAGTCCAGGCCCTCTGCCTCCTCAGCTCCTCCTCCCTGTGACCCTGAGGGGACCTCGCCCAGGTTCTTCCCTCCCCTGGAACCCAAGAGCCCAAATCTCAGCCCTGTCCCCAACCCCCACCTCCGATCTTTAACTTAGAAATCTGATTCTCTCATCTCTTTCTCTCTTTTCTTCTTCCATCTGAGGCAGTTTATTGTCCTAACAAATGTGGTAAGTCCAGACTATGGATGGGAGTCCTTTACCCCTCATCCCTGCCCCAAATCCCAGCCTCCCCCCCTCCCCTTTTTGGAGGGGGTGGTTTCTTCATTCTTACAGCTGAGACCCTCCTGGCCCGAAGCATTCTCCCTGGCTTGGATTTCTTGGGTAGCGGGTGGCATTCTATCTGCACTCTTTACTGCCCCTCATTGGCGAGCCAATGTCCTAGGGGCCCAACCCTTCGCCTTGCGCTCACTGGTTGGTGGGTGAAAGAATACATGCCTGGGCTCGTCTCTTCAGGCACGATGTTGCAGACTCTGATCTGGTGCAACAAGTGCAGGAAGGAGGTGCACACCTGTTTGAAGTCCTACGATTGCGGAAGTGAGAAGTGGAGCTGGCAGGAGGGGTTGGTGTGAGGCCGGGCTCCGAGGAGCGCCCAGGGAGAGTGCAGATGGGACGCCCCCGCTTACTGAGGCCCTCCCTCAGGTCGCAATGTGGAGGTCCATGAGATGGAAGACATGATCCTGGACTGTCATCTCAACTGGCACCAGGCCTCTCAAGGACTCACTGACTACAGCTTTTACAGGGTGTGGCCCTCCAACTCCTGTAACCCTTGAGCCCACATCCATCGGGCTCCCTCCTGCCCCTGGGTCTGCTGACCCCCGGGTCCCCTGGCCTGCACCCGTCATGACCGGTGGCCTACTAAGTGTGGTCTCTACTGATCTCCGGGGACCCCATTCCTTGACCAGTGTCACCCTGGGTTCCCCTCTGACCCTGAGGCCCCGTGATTTTCTCACCCCAGTACTCTCCAACCTCTGAATTTCCCCAACCTCTGTGACCACTTGAGCTTGGATCTAGGTTTGGGGGAACAATTCTGAGACCTTGGAGTCCAAGGGAAAGGAGTCCCTCCTGACCAAGCCTTTGGTGGGGCCAGAGGATGCAGGCGACTACCGCTGTGAGTTGGGCACCGTGAGTTACGGCCCAGCCACGATCATCTATTTCCACGTCACAGGTCAGCTCTGGGTTAGGGGTAGAGAAGTGAGGTTTCCAGGGCCCAAGGAGCAAGACGCTGTTTCCTAAACCTGGCCTGAGCGAGGGCGTGGCTTCGAGTGGGGGCGTGACTTCATTCTGGGTGTGGCCTCGGGCAGCTGTGGCAGTGGGGTCCTGGATACTAGGGCCAGGTGCCTTCATCCCCTGCTAGGACTGCTCTTTTGCCCTTCCTCTATCAGTGTTGCCCAAAAGGCTGGAGGAGGAGCAGCAGTCATCAAACGTAACCTCAGAACTCCTGGAGTCCTTGCCTGAGACCCTCCAGCCTCCAAAGCCCGAGAATATCCTGAGACGCCGCCTCTTAGGGATGCTGATCTGTGGCTCTGTGGGCTCTATACTTCTGATAGCTGGCAGCTTGGCCACTGTGTGAGCAGCCACGGAAGGAGGCCGGCTTGGAGGAAGGGGCGGGGTTTCTGGCTACCCAATGCAGAAGTAGGCCTGGGAGCCAATGAGAGACTTCCCCAGGGGGTGGGGCTTGCATAATTTCTAGAATAAAGATTTGTGGGTGTTGGGAGAAGTGTCCCTCTTTCAACTACAGCCTAACCTGGCTCCATTATTTGCACCCTCCGACCTCCCCCAGGTTATTTCACAGGGGCAAGACGACCACGGCCAACCCGAAGTGCTCACCGGTCAATAGTGACAACGAAGCTGCTGCGCAACCAAAGGAAAAGGCCACAGATCTGGAGAGCCAATAAAGATTTGTCTTTTTGTCTAAGTATCTGACTCACTTCTCTGGTCTGATCCAAACTTCTGGTTCCACGACAGGAGAGGTCTGAGGGTTGGGCTCCTGCCTGGGTGAGGAGAGGCTGCGACCCAGGAGCCCCGGCTGGTGGAAGAGATCAATGGGCTGGCTGCGACAGATTCCCAGAATCAAGGAGCAAGGCAGGGCCAGCCCTGCCCAGGTCTCCTCCCCCGGGTCCGGTCACCTCACAGGACGCCCCCTCCCCGCTCTTCCTGCCGGGTTTCCTCTGGCCTTTTCCTGTCCCCCACCCAGTGCAAGGGAGCTGGGGCAGAGGCAGGCTACACGAGCGGAGGGAGCGGGGACGAACTCGGGCCAACGGAGCCAGGGCCTCCGGGTGCTGCTGGACCCGAAGCAGGGTAAGAGCCAGGAACGCTGGAGTCAGTCCACAGCCTTCTCCGTCCTGGGAGCCGGAGTCCCAGGCCCATCCCTGCCCTCCCGGCCTCCGGAGCCTAAGCCCAGCCCCCTCCTCCTCCTGCCTCAGGAGCCCAAGTCCCTCTCCACCCCCTCCGTCACCACCACCCAGTGCCTTAGACATAGGGGCCTTATCTACCTATCCTTAGGGCCATGCTATCTGGTGAACGGAAGGAGGGCGGTAGCCCCCGCTTCGGGAAGCTGCATCTCCCTGTGGGCCTGTGGATCAATTCCCCCAGGAAGCAGCTCGCCAAGCTGGGGCGACGCTGGCCCAGCGCTGCCTCTGTCAAGTGAGTGGGCACCTGCCCTGCCCGCCTGCCTCCCTCCCATTTGTCCCTGTTGGTGACCCAGGCCTTGCACTGCCCCTGAGAAGGTTGCTGTCCTGAATGGGCTAGTGAGCTGGGGGTGGAGTGGAGACACTCAGGGACCCTAGGGTGACGTCAGGGCGGGTGCGGGGCAGAGCTGGGGCAGGAGACCGGCAGAGAAGGCACAGGGTTTGATTCCCCTTCCATACTCCCCTCTAACTCCCCTCCTGGCATTTCCTTCTGTGGGACTCGCATTTGTTTGTTTGTTTATTTATTTATTTATTTTCTCTCCTTTTTCTCCAATTTCTTCCCCACCCCCATCTCCATCCCCTGCGGGTCTCTGCCCCTGTTTCTCTGTCCTTGTCGTCCCTCTCTGGGTCTCTCCCGCGCCCGTCCCCGCCCGGCTCGCAGGTCCTCGTCCTCGGACACGGGGAGTCGCAGTAGCGAGTCGATGGCCCCGCCGCCACCGCACGTGGAGCTGCGGCGCGTGGGCGCTGTGAAGGCGGCGGGGGGCGCCTCGGGCAGCCGCGCCAAGCGCATCTCGCAGCTTTTCCGGGGCTCGGGGACTGGGGCCTCGGGGGCCGGAGGCGCTGGGGTCCCCGGGACTCCGGGGGCAGCGCAGCGCTGGGCCAGCGAGAAGAAGCTGCCCGAGCTGGGGGCGGGCGTCGCCCCGGAGCCCCCGCTGGCCACCCGCCCCACGGCACCCCCCGGGGTGCTCAAGATCTTCGGCGCGGGGCTGGCGTCGGGGACCAACTACAAGAGCGTGCTGGCCACCGCGCGCTCCACGGCACGGGAGCTCGTGGCCGAGGCCCTGGAGCGCTACGGGCTGGCCGGCAGCACCGGCGGCAGCCAAGGCGAGAGCAGCTGCGTGGACGCCTTCGCGCTGTGCGACGCCCTGGGCCGGCCCGCGGCGGGCGGAGCAGGCAGCGCGGGCAGCGGCGAGTGGCGCGCAGAGCACCTGCGCGTGCTGGGCGACTGGGAGCGCCCGCTGCTGGTGCAGGAGCTGTGGCGCGCACGGCCAGGCTGGGCGCGGCGCTTTGAGCTACGCGGCCGTGAGGAGGCGCTGCGCCTGGAGCAGGAGGCCTTCGGGGCGGCCGAAGGCAAAGGTGAGCCGGGAGGGGCTGCCCTGGACTTGACCACCCCTTGGATGGACTGCTGGGGGCGGAGCCTCGGGGCGGGGCCTACAGGGAGAGGGGTGGGGCCAGTGATACTGGGCCATTGGGATTTGGGGTCGGAGCTCTATAGGGGCAGGCCCAGGGGTGGGGCTGGGGGGGGATGTGGGGACCGCGGAGGGGATGGGTAGTAGCTGCAGGGAGGATCAGGTGGAGGGTGGAGCTGGGGCAGGGCAGAGGTCCGTCAGGTTGGCGGGAACAAAGGGGCGGGTCTGAGAATTGGGTGAGGCCTGTGGCTGAACGGGCTTTGTGGGCGGGGCTTGGGGCTATGGGAGTCGTGGCCTGGCTCGTGGATGGGGATGGGGTCCTATATTTCAGGCTATCTTGAAGGAGGCTGAATGTGTAGTGGGTCTAGGAGGAGCAGATGCTCAGGATTGTGTCTGTGGCATCCGGGAGCTGGGTGTGCCTGCAGGATGGGTAGAGTTTATAGGGTGCTGAGGGATTCTGCCTGTGTGTTGATGGAAATGGAAAATGGAATGATTAGGAGATGGAGAGGAGCCGGGAGAGGTGGCGCTCACCTGTGATCCCAGCACTCGGGAGGCTGAGGCAGGAGGATCGCTGGAAGTTCGAGGCCAACTTAGGCTACATAGTGAGTAAAGGGCCAGCCTGAACTTCAAAGGGAGACCCTGCCTCAAAAAAAAAAAAAAAAAAAAAGAATAAGGAGCTGGAGAAACAGCCATGGATGATGTCTCTGAGTGATGTTCAGAGTCAACGGCAAGGCAGGACCTGACGTTGGGCGTGGTGATGTGTAATGGCACCTGGTACGTGGATCTTCGTGCCCGGAGGCAGTCTGTGAAGTAGATTCATGCTGTTCCCGAGAAGCGTGGCCTATGTGGTTGGAGCCTAGGGAGGGAGGGACCTGGAGGAACAGAAAATGGTCTCCTGCCCTCCAGCGGGGTCTGGAGAGCCTGAGTGGGCAGAGCCTCAGAGGGGCAGAAGAGGCATCCGGCAGCCTTAGGCTGGGTTAGCTGCCAAGTGTGGGAGAAGAGGGGGCTAGAGGAAGAGGTATTTTTTGGTTTTTAATTTTTATTTTTATGAGTACATGTTTGCAGTACACAATGATTACATTCATCATGGGGAGTTGGTACATGTACACAACACATCCTAATTCTTTTTACTTCCCCCTCCCCTCTCCCCCGCCCCTCCCCCATCTCTTGGAGGAAGAGGCATCTATAGAGGCCCAGGAAGGTGACGCTACAGGGCTACAGGGCTGGAAACAGGAGGTGGCGTCAAAGGTGAAAGAGCAAGCGCAGGACGGAGCTTGGCAGGGGTGGGCCCTGGTGAACTGAGGCCCAGGGCTGCTCAGGGAGCCCTTGAATTGCTTTTCTGTTTCTAAATCTCCCTTGGGCAGAAAAGGTGTTGTAACAATTAAAACTATTTGAACTCAGGCTTGGATTCTAATCCATTCTTTGCCTGTTAATCTCAGCAGAGTGATAGGTGAAGGGTCAATGTTTTCGTGTACATAAAGGATTGGCACATATAGGTGTTTCATAACAAGTGGCAAATCATAATCTTCATCTCCCCTAAGCATTCCCTGGGCACCTACTGTGGACCACACATTTTTAGGGTCCTGGGGATACAGCGGGGCATGAAGTTCCCACTTTCCCAGATCACAAGCTTAGTGGGAATTAGCAGTTGATTCATTAAGATTATTTCCACGGAGAACCTACTATGTGCTGGGTCCAGACAAGCCCAGTTTGGGCCTCAGTATAGTTACTGGGTTCGAACTGGACTGTCAGGGAAGGGTGTTCTGAGTAGGTTGTTTCCATTTCCCTAGGACAGTCTTTGTGAGTGATTACATCAGCCCTCAGCACATAGTAGGTGTTTAGGAAATGCTTGTTAAGAGAACGAATGAATTTCTGAGCTGAGAACTGTAAGATGGGTAGAAATTAGGCAGGCAGTGTGTTTCAGGAACAGGGAACAGCATCTGCAAAACCTAAGTGTGGGAAGCGGCCTCACCTCTCCGTGGCGGGTTCTGTCGCCAGGTGGTCTCAGCCGCGTTTCTCCACCTGACTTTCTAGTCTCAGCCTCTGTTTCCATCTCTCTCCACAGGCACGGGCGCCCCCTCCTGGCGGCCGCAGAAAAGCCGCTCCCGAGCAGCGTCTGGAGGAGCCGCGCTGGCTAGTCCTGGTCCAGGGTCGGGATCAGGGGCCCCGGCTGGGTCCGGGGGCAAGGAGCGCTCGGAAAATTTGTCCCTACGGCGCAGCGTATCGGAGCTTAACCTGCAGGGTCGGCGTCGGCGGCAACAGGAACGCAGGCAGCAGGCGCTTAGCATGGCCCCCGGGGCAGCCGATGCCCAAATTGGACCTGGAGACCCCGGAGATTTCGATCAGTTATCTCAGTGCCTCATCCAGGCCCCCAGCAACCACCCTTACTTCCTGCTGCTCCAGGGCTACCAGGACGCTCAGGTTAGCGCAGCCTTCTCTACCTGGAGTTCTCTATGCCCTGTGCCATTGGAGAGCAACAAACTACAATTCCCAGAATTCTTGTGGTCTCAGTGGCCTCAGCTACTCTGGTAGGTGCGATCCAGCAAGGTTCCAGAGTAGCAAATAACTCGGTGAAAGTAGAGGAAGCGGGGGTTAGATGGCTGACAGACTCCACTGGAGGAGCTGGGTGTGATGATGCAGGCCTATAATCCTAGCACTTTGGGAGGCTGTGGCAGGAGGACTGCAAGTTCGAGTTCAGCCTGGTGGGGGAAAAAAATTGCACTGGAGGGACAAACGGGTTGGGGAGAAACACTGTGTTCCTCAAGGGAGAGTCAGTCCACTGTGGAAGAGTCCCTTGCAAGCATCCATCTCTTGAGGAAGAGGAAAGAGTGCATCTACTAGGACAGGGAAGTCAGTTGGTGCCTGGCATCTTGTTCTGGATAAGCCTATACAGTATTTTCTTTATGGGAGTGAGGACTAATTCATTTGTAAAAGATGATGGTTTACATTGGAACAACTTAACCATTGTTGATGGAGGCAGGTGGTACTGATACTTCTATATATTTTTCATATTTGGGTGACAACAGGAGTTCTGGAACATTGGGTTCATTGTAGGAAGAGAGACAGTGCTTCCATTTTTATAGGATGGAGGTGAGAGA